TATTTTGCAGTTAAGTGGCTTTTTGTTTTGATTCGTGATCCTGAAAGTCATTAATTAGATCTGTCCTGAAAGTTAACGGAGCATTGGACAAAGCATTCATAAAAAAGATGCAGACGATTGACTTCTGCATACCATACTGTACAAAATCGTTTTTGTTCCATTGGATAATTATTATAAAAAAAAAAAGATAAATTAAAAAATATTATTGCTGCACTGTATTGCTTGAATAATACCTATTGTTCAAAAGTTATGGCCAAGATTAAAGTTTTTCAAAAGTAGGTCAAACTCCAAGATCAAAGGGTCAAAGTTGTTGGTACATGTATCTATAGGAATACATATGTGGAGTATGAAAACCCTAGCACTAACTGTTCGAAAGTTATGGACAAGGTTAAAATTTTTCAAAATTGAAGTAGGTCAAACTCCAAGGTCAAGGTCAAAAGGTCAAAGTTGTTTGTATCCAAAGGAAGGTCTTGTCACATGAAGTAAACATGCAAAATATGAAAGACCTAGCACAAACTGTTCAAAAGTTATGACCAAGATTAAAGTTTTTTCAACAGTAGGTCAAGATCAAAGGGTCAAAGATGTTGGTATCCAAAGAAAGGTCTTCTCACAAGAAATACACATGTGAAGTTTGAAAGCCCAAGCCTGATGTGTTCAAAAGTTATGGCATGGCCAAGGTTAAAGTCTCATAAAATTTTGCAAAAGTGGGTCAAACTCCAAGGTCAAAGTCAAATATGATGGTGTCCAAAGAAAGGTCTTGTCACAAAAATGCAAGGAATACACATGTGAAATATGAAAGCCATAGCTCCAACCAATTAAAAGTTATGGGCAAGGTTAAAGTTTTTTGCAGACAGATAGACAGACAAACAGGGCAAAAACTATATGCGGCCCCATCCTACCCCTGGGGGTCATCATTTGAACAAATTTGAATCTACACTACCTCAGGATGCTTCCAAATAAATATGACCAATCATGGCTTTGCTGTTCTTGAGAAGATTTTTTTCCTATATATTCCTATGTAAACCTTTGATCGCCCATTGTGACCCCACTCTACCCCCGGGGGTCATGATTTGAACAAACTTGAATCTACATTACCTGAGGATGCTTCCATATAAGTTTCATATTTTCAAGCACATTGGTCCTTGAGAAGATTTTTAAATGATGCCATTAATTTTTCACGAATTCATAATTATCTCCCCTTGGATGAAGGCGTGGCCCTTCATTTGAACAAACTTGAATCCCCTTTGCCCAAGGATACTTTGTGGCAAGTTTAGTTGAAATTGGCCTAGTGGTTCTTGAGAAGATTAAAATGTGAAAAGTTAACAACGACAACGACAGACAACGGACAAATTTCGATCAGAAAAGCTCACTTGAGCCTTCGGCTCAGGTGAGCTAAAAATTGCAGACTAAAAATGTGATTCATCCCACAAGACTCCCTTTACTGCATAAATTGAATTGACTGTCCTGCTTTACCACGTATCACATAAGCCACTGACTTCTTTATGCCGAGATTTTCTACATTAGTTTCGAGATAAGCCTTTTTATTTTTAAGAGTAACATTCTTCCAAGATCTGTAGAAAATCTAAAACCACAAAGAATTTACACAATTCAATTGAACACTAAGAGCATGGAATTGCATCACGACAAATCATTCAGGCTATCACATATAGTTATATTTTCAAACCGAAGGACTCAAAACATATTGGTGAGCAAAGAGAGAAAGAATAGAAAAAAGTGACTAGAAAAGACAGGAATGATTGATTGATTGTATTGTTTTACTTCCCGTTCGAGAATTTTTCACTTATATAGAGATGTCACCATATATAGCTGAAGGGCTTCAAATTTAAACCTTTACTCGGCACTCAGGGTCATTGAGCAGTGAGGGATCTTTATCGTACCAACGCCTGTCGTGAGACGGGGCCTCAATTTTGAAGGTCTCATTTGAAGGACCCGCAACTTTCACTTCAAAGTGCCGAGAGCTTGGCGAAGGAATGGTTGCTACCTATTTTCTTATCGACTTCGGTCAGTCACGGCCAGGACTCGAGCCCACGACCTTCCGATCACGAAGACAGGAATGAATCAAACCTTTATGATATTCCTTTTAGTGTGGAACGTGAAGTTAACGAACTGTGATCATTCTAAAAGGTCCATTTAAATAATACCAACCATGAGCAGAGTCAACATGAACCAGCTGAAAACAGAGGTTGAGTCAGGCGCAACAGAGGAGCAAGCATCCCATATTGCCTTCCATACTCGCCGTTTTTGTCATGATCGGGTGAACGGTATGTGGTGATTTAGCATGATTTTAGTGACTGAGGACTTGCTTCCACCTGCTGGATGCCTGTCTGTTCAACTTACAACTGATGAAAGTCCATGATTTTCCAGTTCTCTATGCACTGCATAATGATTTTAATGTTTGGGTTGATTATGAGGACTGTCATCGACTATTTTAAGAAATCAAAATACATGCATTTCTTCAATGATGCATTAAACAAAGAAAAAAAGCAAGGATTTATTAGCCATGGTTCCATCAACGTTCTTTTATATATACATGTTAAAGAAAAACACGATAGTTATACATGTATTTATATTCTAGGAAAAGGCTTTCTTGTCTTTTGCTTAAATTTTTCCAACATAGAGAAAAGGACAAAAATACTTCTAAAGTTTGCATCTATGTTGCTGAAGATTTCAGTTTGCAGGTCAGCTGACGTACTTCTATTCTTGTTTGCCACTAATTTTATAAACATGTTAGTTTTCTCCAAAGCAGGGCATATTAAAATTTGCCTCAAAGCATCCCTTCAAAGTGTTGGGGGGGGGGGGGGGTAAGATTCGTTTGTTGTTTAACGTCCCTCTCAAGAATTTTTCACTCATATTGAGACGCCGCCACTTGTCGGTGGAGGGCTGCAAATTTAGACCTATACTCGGCAATCAGGGTCATTGAGCAGTGAGGGATCTTTTTCGTGCCAGCACCAACTGCGGTAAGGGACCTCGGTTTATACAATCTAATCCGAAGGACCGGTCTCCACGTCCCGCAGTGGGATTCGAACCTGCGACGTAAGATTCAACTCCTTACACCGCGACTCTAGAGCAAACGCTCTAACTACTGCACCACGTGGGCGAAGGGGATTTAAGAGGTTTTTGTCTTCAAATAAAAGGGCAACCTACATATAATGGGTTGTAGAGATATATGAAATTTGATAATTTCCACGTTAAGAATTCTGTTGCCAAATAATTTGGTGACTCAGTCTTTATAGTAGATTCAAGTTATAATTATTTAAACAAATTTCAATTTACAGGTTATAATATGCAGGAATATCTCTAGAGCTGCAATCATTCTTAAACAACATGGCTTCAAATTGACAGAGAAATACTCAAGTATTTTATCGTAATTCTATCGTGGAGTGCATGTAGATTCAAATTTCCACATCCTGATCCTAGGAAAAGGGTTCAAAGTTTTAGTTAATAACTAGAATAAGCATCCAAAGTGTATTATGCATTTATTAAAAGGAACTTGGATCTAATTCTACAAGTGGTAATCCAACTTATACTCATAGTTCCCTTTCTAAGGATGAAATTCTCTAAAACCATATCATTTTTAAAAAAAATTTAATACTCCAAACATCCAAACTGAATTCAAATAACAATACCAATATTGGACTCCAAAACTCCATAAAAATCCTGACAGATACATAGAGGGTTCTAGTGAATGTTTTACCAAGCCTCTTATTTACTCCCCAAGAAAAAATCAACAGAAGTAAAAGAGACACTTCAGGAGATTTGTTCAGACGACATTTTCGAGAAGTGGTGTAAATCAAATGTCGATATTTTATTTTCAAGGACCTTAAGTTTTATAAAAATTAAAAGTACATTTTTCCCCAAAATCAGTAGCATCGAAACATATAACTTCTCAACACTTTATACAATCATTTTCCCACTATAAATTCGTGATCGGGAGGCCCGGGTTCGATTCTCATTCGATCGCCGCGCCGCGTCAAACCTAAGATGTAAACATAGTTGGTGACTGTTCCTTCACCAAGCGCCCGGCTCTAGATGTGAAAGTCACGGGTCTTTCGGATCAGACCTTGAAAATCCGAGGTTGGCACGATAAAGAATACCCACTGCTCAAAGACCCTGAGTGCGAGTATGGGTCTAAATTTGAAGCCCTTCGCGGGCCTATGGTGAAGTCTCTATATGAGTGAAAGTTCTGGAATGGAACGTTTAACAACATACAATCAATCAATCCCACTATAAATTAAAGATCGGTCTTTTTGACATCATAGACAACTGCTTCTTCAATTAAAATGGTACACGTAAATCTGCATACTTTTACATTGGTCATCTGCAAACTTATTTTGTCGAAAGCATTCTGATTCTGGCAAGGTTGAAATTATGTAAACATTGTAGAAAAGTTCTTCAAACAATCTGTCGGAGCCCCCATAGGTATTAATTCTGTCCAGTTATTAACACAATTGGGTTTTTTTTTATTCTTATGAAACAGAATTTATACAAAAACCTCAACATAGAGAGATTTAAGGTAAGGTTTGCGATTACAGGGAGATAACTCTTATGAATCACTTAAGCGTTTGAAACCGGCGAAATTTAAACCAGCAATAATTAGCATTCAATCGCTAATGAATTTCGGCTGTGAAACACCATGACATGAAATGATGAACACAAACAAAGGACATTTCCAGTTGAAAATCGTATAGGCCTAACAATTTAAAGTTAAGGAATCTCAGAAGAATTTAGCGGACAAATGCTTAGCGTGATGCACGATTGATGACGCAATAAAAGAGCACTAGTTTATTTTCAATAAGGAACTGCGCAAGTTGCACGGTTATTCAAGTCAGCAGGAGCAAAGAATCAGATGTATTGTAAATCATGCACTTCACCGCGTCACTTAATCATGTTAAAATGACACCACGAACGAAAGAAAGAAACATCCAGGATCCTGTTACACTCTGAGTGGTGTATGCAGTATGCACTCCGAACAGGGAAGAGAAGTCATGGAGTATTTGACAGCTTGATATAGTTGCATCAGACAGATAAATATTTAACTGTTAATTTTAAGTATTTGTAGTTCATAATCGCGTATTACAACTACGGATTACAGAACTTTGTCAATGACCTAAACCATGTAAACGGACATAAACAGGAATGAATGAACAGATCAGGGTACATGTTAATCCGAGTTTCCTCTGACTGTAAACCCTGCTTTTATCTGTTTATATTGTGACATGTTCAGCGAATATCGAATAAGGTGCATGTGACTTTAATTCCCGCAATGCAGAAAAAGTTTTCATCCAACTTTTTAAATTTTCTCTCTCTTTCTCTCCATCTCTCTCTCTCTATTTTTTTAATACAATCAGGAAAGCATTTTCATCAGTTATTTTTTTATGAAATTGTTTGAATTATTGATTGACACATTAATTTTCAATGCAAATTAGTTCTCACTGAAAAAGATCTGAAGCCCAAATCCATTTAAAAAGTATCAATCTTGAATGCAGTAAACAAATCAATGTTCTAACTCTTAGTCAAAACATACTAGTTTATATGTTGCACATGGATTTTCTCTCTAGATAGATTTTAATATGAATTTTATCATAAACTTTAATTTAATAATCTCAAAGAGGATTTAAAAGTAGGTTCAAAAGAGGGGGATTTTTAAGCATTGAATCATTATTTTTTGAAAGATATAGTCTCATAACTACAACGGTGTGTGCAGACTAATTGAGTAACGCACATTAGCGTGTTATGAAAATATGTTGGCACACATGTTGACACGCAGTCAATACTTTTCCTATTTTTACTTATATGCACTGGCTATATATGTTCCAGTATTGATTATGATTTACTGATTGCTAAGCTCAGTTGATTGTCCTACTCTGACATGGTAAATTCTGGTTCTCTCAAAATAGATACATGGTCAGTTGGTACACGTAAATATAAGTATTTTCATTATTTTTTTTTATTTTATTATTTTCATTATTTTTTTTTAAGTTTGAAGTAACCTTTGATGGGGTCTTATAGAGACAGCTGGCACAGGTTGGAATTATGACATAATACAGGTGAGCTTTTCTAAAGTACAGTATTTATTTTTTCCTCACCAAGTGATACATACATTAGTATAGTCTGGATCAGGCCCGTAAGAAGCAATTTCAGCTTGGGGGGGGGGGCACAACAAAACCCATTTTCAGTTGGGGGGGGGGGCACTACCAATAATATTAAAATTCCTTGGCAAGCAAAAATGAAAGGTCATCAGACGTTATTATTTAGGTGGCACAAGCATATATTTAGCGATGTTTTCTATAGTGTATAGTGTTCTATATATCAGCAAAATTAGGGGGGATGCCTCCCCCCCCCCCCCCCAGTTCCTAAGACCATGTGGATAGTTTTAATTTAGATTGAATGGTTTTAATGAGGGCCTGGAAATACTTTCTGTGAATGAAGTTCTATTTTTATTAGTATCTCATTTTTTAAATAAAAAGAGATCCAGATTATGCATGACTATTTAATATTAGCATTGCTTAGGTTGTGTTTTAGAAAATTCGCTCATCAAGCTTATATAATTGCATTCATCTAATTCAATCTATATAAATTAATGTATACATTTATTTTTGATAATAGTTGTACCATTATTAGTTATAAAGTGAGTATGTTGGAAATTCATTCATTTCATTTTTTTTCATTCCTTTCATTATATGAAAATGAACACACAATTTCAGATTATGGATCATTAATTGGAAATAAATCAGAAAAAGTACTTCAGTTCTTGCTTAGAAGATCAGTGCCATCTATTATAGTAAAGACCATTGTATTCCAGCTCATGAATGTTCAAGAAAGTTGAAAGATCGAGCAAAGGTGTGGAACCAGATATGCTAATACCAGTGGCCCAGGATTTGGAGGAGACTGGTTACCCAATAAATGTTATCCATGGAAACAATGATTCCACAACAACATTCTGTCTAATAAGCTGTTTTCTTTATATTTAGAAAAAATAAGAGTCTGAGATGATTATAGTACATTATAGTGCTTTTTATAATTATAGATTATAGTGCTTCTCCATCTTTGAACTTGTATTCAGTAAAATAAATTTATGCATCAGATGTATTAATTGGAGGTGGCATATGTCTGCTTAACAAGTTTCTATGTAGCATTCAAAAAGTGTTTGTAAAGTTTAATGTAAATTGTTGTAGTAAAATATCCATAGATAATGGACAGAATATGTATCTGTGTCATTATGGCATTGTTATATTTTTCCTGTTCTTGTCCAATATTCATGACACTGTAATAACTTCGCAGAATTTTACAATTTGACTGAAATCGGAAGTACTTGCACTGTAAACTCATTAAAATATGAATTTGTAACTTGAAATCCAATGTTATTGTCTTCTTACATACAGCTGCATTTATCCAGAATCTGGGACTGATCAAAGTCGCCCTCATGGTGCAGTGGTTAGAGCTTTGCTCTATAATCACAGGGAAAGGAGTTGATCCTTGCATTGCGGGTTCAAATCCCACTGCGGGACTTGGAGACCAGTCCTTCAGGTGAAACCATATAAACCGAAGTCCCGTATCAAGTATTTGCTGGCACGGAAAAGATCCCTCACTGCTCAGAAGGCCATAAGTGTCGAGTACAGGTCTAAATTTGCAGCCCTCCACTGGCAAGTGATGGCCTCTCAATATGAGTGAAATAATCTTGAAGGGAGGGTAAGCAAACAAACGAACAGACTATTAAAATGTTTGATATGTAGATATTTGTTACTGTTGTTAAGATAGCATCTACCTGGATAAAATGCCTGCAACATTTCACTCAAGTGATAGCATGTAAAGCCTCACCAGTCATAGATGAGTAAAGACATTAGCTAAGGATGCCTAGAAATTAATACCGTTAGTTGAAATCTTTTGAAATGATTAAATCAACATAAGGTCAAAAAGTTTTACTTAAACTTGTTTTCCAACAGGAGCACGCTAAGAAACCATGATGAACAATTACATGTACATGTATACACCTCAAGCATGTTTATAGATACAAGTATTTCTAAAAGGTGTTGAAACCTAATTCCATTGACTTTTTCATCAATAATATTGTAAAGGTGCGTTATGTAGGACATGTATACCAAGAGTCTTTCCACATGAACTGATTATTTACTATTTAGTAGCATGGAAGGAGTGTTATTGTGGTCAATTTTCTGCCAAAAAAAAACAATTTCATATAAAATTTAATTTGATGAGTACACTTTCTGAAAATTGTATCAATGTTTACTTTAAAATGCAAAAAGGTCTGATTTTCATGTACAAAACCCATTATATAGCCTCTGTTTCCATGGAAACGGTGTTGGGGACATATATATTTTTTTAGTCCATTGTAATGAAAATTATCCATTGAACAATTTTTTGGATTTTTGTGGAATCGGTAGATATAGATAATGGTGATTTTTACTTGTTTGTTGCCATGGCAACGGTTTCACTTTATTATGGAAAGTTGAAAAAACCTCTTTTTTAACCCAAATTTTTACATTTTCAGTAACAGAAATAAAAAAATAAGATAAATTAAGCATAAAATAAAATAATTCATGCCATTTTAATTATTTTAATATGATAATATATAAAATTAATCAATTTTTTTCATTGAAAATAATTGAACATGTAAAGCATCAAATACCTCAAATTTGGCGTCTTTTACTCAAAAAACTGGACGGGCAATATCTTTTAAGATGGTGTTAAATGATGAAGCTATTCTTTCCAAACAAATTGATGTATGACATATGTACAATTTCAAAAAAAAAAATAAAATTTGGAGGGGTTCGCAAACCTTACCTTAAATATATGTTTTATCCGTTTTATCAATTAACAATATTTGTTTTAATTCCTACCTTGATTAAATTCCATTGAATTTGAAATAAAAAAACAACGCCACAGAGTTTGACACATGTTCCATATTTGGATGTTTTACTAGAGAAAGACATAGATGGCAAACTAAACTAAACTTTGTGATCATGACTTCAACTTTTCTATAGTCAAGTTCCCTTATACCATGTAATATACCATTATCATCTGCACATAGAGTTTATGTTTCCACGTTGATTTGATGCGCAAGAGCATGCTCTACATACGAACAATTTCTAAAACGAGGCACGCTACTGACAGATAAGTTGGTGATACAAGGATATCAACAAGTCAACATTTCATAAATTTAATGGACGATACAATGACCTTGTTTGCAAATACAATCTATATATATCATAAGGTCGAATGTTGACTGATGTGATGGTATGGAAAATAAGGGAGGTACCATTTACTTTTTTTATGTATAACACTTTAGCGATGTTGCAGTACAGTCGGATTGTTGTCGACGATTCTTGGTACTTAATTTTTGTATTCGAGAGTCGGCGCCATTAAACAAACATCAGCTAACTTTGTCTCCTCCTTTTTCCAGGTAATTAACAGATTATTTTATATTTTATCTGATTGATTTTGTACAAGGTGGCATGTTAGATACTTTGCTAATTGTGTACGTTTATTTAGATGCATTTGAGGTTAATTGTGCATATTTTGTTATCGAAGCGATCAATGCAAAACAATGTGCTTTAAGATCACGTAATGAATAGTTTATAGTGGAGTAGCCAAAATTCTTACAGTTATGCCTGTTCATGTTTCATTTCTTGATTTATAAAACACATGTAGAAAATGTTATTCATAGCATAATATTTAGTCGAGTCAGGTAGTAGTTGATGTCAAAGTAACAAGTCAAGATTCCCGCACTTTCTACATCCGGGCATTTTCAATATGGCTGCGCCCATACAGATTTAATTGTTTATATTTCCATTAGAATAACTATGTTAATGTGCAAGTCTAATTGGCTATTGTATGATGTCTGATTGTTATCCAAGAGTTGTGTTTATTAGTGTAGCATATCACTATTAATATTATTTCAGTTTAAATTCAGTATTAAGTGTAAGGTAGCTACTTTGTGGTTGTGATACTTTGTGTCATAAAATATCAATTATGTCAGTCATATTACTTCAATCAATCTAGTCTCATTAGTTAAAGTCTCAGGATAACCAGGATTAATTCACAGATCTAGTCATTTTGTTTACATTGCTATTGCAAGCTAACTGTTGAATTCTCACGTACATGTATCAGTATTGTTCCTTGATTATATAAATGCATCAGTTTCTAGCCATACATATTACTGTGTTAAGAATGTGTATTTTGTTATTGTACAGTTGTACGACTTAATTTTTGTATACGAGAGTCGGCGCTAATAAACAAACATCAGCCAACTTTGTCTCCTCCTTTTTCCAGACTCTCTCCATTTGAAACCGGTTACACTGACGTCATTTGTACAAATTGTTAGGAATTATTTCCACACCGAATTGTCTATGGATTTTTCCGCTTAACCGATCCTGACAAGGGACAGGAGTGACAGGTTGGCAGGGATGCTCGGTCCTCCATAGCAACTGATCCCACCTCTGTTTTCAGAGATCCGTGTTTGCTCTACTCACACTTTGTATTGTTTAACTGGACTTTGAACATGATAACTGTTCGTTATCTTCATATGTAATTTACATGTACGTGACAGAGTATTTTCTGTATGATAAAATCGGTTTATCATAGTATAATCAACCGCCAACTAGACATGTGATTTGTTGGGTGGATCCTAAGTCTGTCAAATTGTATTTAGTTAATGTCATACAATAAAAGATTGTCCAGTAATAGTTTACTTGCAGAATATTTGTATGATGAACTGTGAAGGAGGGGATTGTAAAAAAAAAAAAATAGACAAATATGGAAATGCATCAGTTGTTAATAAAATTGATTAATTTTCAATTATCATACATAATATAATGAACAACTTCCTACTTTTGGGGCTCTATGGTGACGCTGATTTAATTGAAGTAAGTGATAACCACATGCTTTCGTCGACTTCTCCAAAAACAAATCCATTATTCCTTAATTGGTTTTGATAAAACTCATAGTTAATAAACTAAGAACTCAAATAGATCTGAAATAATTTCAAATCAGATGAATGGGTAATAATACTAATGCTTTTGTCTCTGAATGAAATCAAACGTCTCGGTATGTAATAGTCATTGAATCAATATACTCAACACAATCTCTCAGACTGACAGGCTCCCTGTCTATTTGTAACGCCATGTTCATGAAAATATCAAGGACTGAGACTTCGGAGTTTGGCTGGTGTTCATAGTTTCTTTTTTCCCTTTTTGAGACATTCCTTATTTAACCTACAGTGTGCTTTCACGGGTGGAAGTAATGAAGTATTTCAAAGACAGTCAATCGGCGACTTCTGCCGGTCACCATCAACAGAAATGATTCCAGAGGACTATAGTGATGCTATATCTATGTAAGAAAAAACGAAAGTATGCACAATTCGAACAATTTTAAATCAAACAGACAATCAATTAGTTGTGTTAAAATTTGTGTAATACAAGTGATGCTACTATACAAAAAGATATTCCTAAACCTAAGTGATTTCTGATATCCCCCTCCAAAAAATAGAGAATAAGAACAAAGGAGGGGCATCGTATGGAAATGGAACTTAATAATAGAAGTATTGACACAATGCCAAAATTATTCAAATAATTATTTGCAGATCTCAAAGAGATCGTACCTCCACAGAGCACAGCGTATAGTGGAACAGCAAAATCACTCTGAGAGTTGATTCATATTTGTTTAATATTAAGGCACAAGGTCATTGCAAGAAAATAAACTTTAATGAGGATCTGTATAACAAGAGTATTGTTAAAAAAAAAAGAAACGCACAATAGGAACCAGAAGTCTCTGATGGGAATGTACTTGTAGTTCTAGTGGCTTTTATTTAATTAAAAAGGGATAACGTAGACTTGAAACTTTGGCAACAGCAATAAATTAAAAAAAATGATCCTTGGTTTAGTCTCTTTCCGAGTTAAGT